GGCCTGAATGTAAAACGTCTTCAAAAGCACTCATGAAAATCCTTGGATGAGCTGTGTCATGGTTTTGTTCCCAACATCTACCTAAGCATCTGCTCGTCATGAAAACTAATCTCAATTATTATGTTCTGGGTTTATTAATACTTCCAGCGTCTGAAAAAGGACACATTCAAGACAGTACAACCTTTCTTCCTTCCGGTTTCTTCCTACATTATCAAATCCAGCATTTCAATTTGTTCTCAGGATAAAACTACGCATACATTCTATATAATCCCACGGAAATTAAGAGCTAACTACAGCAAAATCTCACAACTGGCTTCTGATTAAAAGTCAGATATGCAAATTAGTATTTCTGGAGCAGGAAGGCCTTAAAAATTATAATTTACACAATTGTGGAAAATACTTGTCTAAGGCTGGACCAATTTGACTGCTACTGCATCTTAACAGAGGCCAGAAAGAGTGACTCCAGGAACTGTAAGGTTTAAAAAGAGAAGTAACAGAGCAAATATTTCTCAGTTCTGTTCAGTATCACTGCCTAATCTGAAAAACTGTTTATAGCCCACTTGCTTCAAAATGAAATGAACTACATGTTAAAAGGCCAAATCTGTACCAAAACGAATAGCTAACTTGGCATTGAAGGCTGTTAATAAAGTGGTCTTTCCAAGCAAAAAGCTACAATAGCACATACTTAGCATTGTAAAAAAAAATAAAGGACTTAGAAGACCATATTAGGAAAACAAAATGGTGAAGCAATTTATCTTAACTGAAGTGTTTCAGAATATTGGTTTCAAAAAAAAAACAGAGGAGAAATTATGTTCGTTAAAAGCTGCAGCATAAGAAGGGAACTACTACTGGATGCATGATACTGCATTCTTAGGATCCATTTATGTAGAAGTGGATGGCAGCAAAGAAAGCTCACTAACCAACCTTTGCTAATTCTGCAAAACATAATGTCTTCTCTCCGCAAGGATGATTACAATATTATATTAAGGACAGAAGCTGGGATACTGAATATGGTCATAATGTGATGAAATTTGAGGAGTTTTGATCCATTAAAATGAGGAGAAACTAAGTCATCTTGCAGAGTCAGTAACCAAAAGATACAGATTTAGCAAAATTGATGAATGAATTAGAGGCAGAGAGTTATAATCTGGAATGCACTGTTTTAAAGGGTCCTGAGAGTAGATTCAATAGGAACTTTCAAAAACGAGTTGGATATCTGATTGAAAAGAAAAGCATAGTGCTCTCAGGAAAAGAGGTGGGGAATGAGACTAATGGGATCACTACTTCAAAGCACCACCACAGGTGTGTTGTGCCAGATGGCCGCTTCCTGTGCACTATGGTTCTACAAACAGCTATAATTCATTATTTTGACGTACAACTTTAAAAAGGGTCAAGTTTGAGATAGTGAAGGATAAGCTTAAATAAATCAACTGGGGACAGTATTGATGAAAGGGTCAGTTGGAGACTAACAGAATATCTAAATAGCTGACTACTCCACACACAGGATATTAGAAGAATCAGGGGGACGATGATGGCCTAGTGCTATTATCACTGGACTGCTAATCCAGAGACATGAATAATGTTCTGGGGACCCAGGTTTGAATCCTGTCACGGCAGATGGTGGAATTTGAATTCAATAAAAGAAAAATCTGGAATTAAGAGTCTAATGATGACCACGAATCCATTGCCAATTGGAAAAAACCCATCTGGTTCGATAATGTCCCTTTAGGGAAGGAAACTGCCATCCTTACCTGGTCTGGCCTACATGTGACTCCAGACCCACAGCAATGTGGTTCACTCTTAACTGCCCTCTGGGCAATTAAGGATGGAGAATGAATGCTACCCTCACCAGTAACAGTGTCATTTCACGAATGAATAAAGAAAAAAATTACAATGCAAAACTAGTCAAGAGTAGATTAGAGAAACTGAAATGGTCTAAAACCATAACGTGAAGAGAAACATGTAAAAAAGAACAGCTCTGCAGCCCATACAAAGCAATGAGGAAACCAAAGAAAATGGATCACCACATTGCAAGGAAATCAGGAGGAAGTTGTATCTACAGACAGGAATATCACTGTCAAAGCCAAACACAATACCATGCAGTTTTAAAACCACCTGAGGGTTAGCCAAGGAAAACCAAAATCTCTTGAACAGGTAAACTGTATAAAAATTCTATACAGTTAATATTTAACATGACTACTTTTTTTTTTGGAAATACACAGTAGAGAAGCCATTAGGAGTGATCCATCATAGGTGGACTCACAAATGAAATGTTACACAGTTTGAATGTCACTTGCATGTCCATTTATTGCAAAAATATATTTTATTCATAGAAGGAAATCTTTATGTACATACGCAGTTAATGTAGCCATTCCAATCTATACTGTCATTACTTACAGAGAATGAAATACATATTTGGCATTTGGTCTTTCTCTATGTCCAGTTGTTGGTGGACTTAAGGGGCTCAAAACTAATTAATCCTAACCAGCAGATGCTACAGTCTGGAGGGTGCTGAGTCACACCAACCATACTGTGGAGTGTTGTTAACTGTGTCAAAAGAGTTAATGGATACATGGACTGCAATGCAAGCAGTATGGCATGTGTTCTCACAAAAGATGGCACAGTAGGCTCAAGAGGCTGAATTGTCTTCTCCTGCTCTTAGTTCTTACGTTCTGAACTTCTCAGAAACTCAGTGTATGCAAATTAGTATTGGAAGCTATTGAATGGAGCATTGGGAGTGCCAACATGAAGAACAGGTTGAAGTCAACACAGTTTTAGAAGGATGTACCTTGTCTGGCTAACTTCTGACATTGTTGCAACTATTCAATTAGGCACAGCTATAAGCATACCTAGAATTCCGCAAAGCCTCGGGTAAACTCTAACATTAAAGAGTGCTTCACAACTTTAAAGAGTGGCACTTGGAACTTTCGTTGCGGCTCATCAGCAGAAAATCAGCTGAATCATCAAAAAATACACAAGCGGGTTTTCTGATAGACTTTCAGAGTTATGGCAGCTGATCTCCACCCCAAGAAATTCCCAGTGAATACATCCAATAACACTGGCCCAACGACCATTTTCTGAGATTTTCACTGATTTTTCCTGCCTGTTTGACTTGATTCCTCCGCCACTGTTGTCCTATCACTGAGATCACAAGATCTATCCCAAGTGGAAAGGGCTGAGTTTAGCTGCCAGATTGCAAATATTTAACTTCTACAGTTTAAGGTACAGTGGGTCAAGAAGAAACTCACACTTTCAGTTTAAAAGGCAAGGTCAGCCAGAATATCACTACTAATTAAAGTACAAAGGCTAGAATGCTTGGAATTAATTTTAAGTAGTGAGAAATAATTTTGAAACAATTATTACAAAGAACTTCAGCAATGAAAGACATAAAAGTTTCATCTAATTTCTCAGACATATTACTGAAAAAAGTACCTTCAAGACACAGAAAATGTGTTGACTCTATAAAAAAGAATGCAAGACTACAAGAGATAATGACTTTATATTCCTGTTAAATATAAATCTGACCCTTAATCCTTTATATAGGAAGTTGCACCTTTTTATAAAAGCTTTGCAGAATCTCAATGTAGTGCAATATGATCATCAATGAATTTGTCATCAGCACTGTTATTGTAGGTTTGCAGAAAAGTTGTTTGCTGGCTGGAAGGTAATTCCATTCATTCGTATCTGTGATCATATTCCAGCCAAGTTGTACATGGCTGGTTAATTTCACCACACCCATAACTCAAGGTGAGTATGATAACAATGGGGTGCCTTATTTCTGAGAGTTTATAGGAATATTGAGTGGCATAATGTCACTCCATTTCCCCATTATTCTGCTTCTCTGATATAATACAACAGTGCCCACTTGAATGAAATTAATTCCGCATGTTTGTATTAGCCAGTGAATATAAAATAAAGCCTTCATTATTCTCTTATAATAGGATATTGTAAAAATCACAAAATAGCACAACAGCTCCTATGTGAAACACAATCTCTTCAGCTTCCGCAGTTTCCACTTGGATCCCAGATGCCAAGGAGTTTTGAATGAGCTCAGCCTACAAAGGACAATCCCAGATCGGAGGTACTTCCTGTTGAATGGCCTTAACAACGATCCTTAAATGAAACCACTCGAGGCTATTCAACAATAAAAACCCAGAAAATACAGTTGTTGTTTATGAAGGCTCAGGAGAAACAGATGTGCTGCTTCTGTGCCCCACAAAAGATTTCTAGCCCATAGACTGTGCAGTTTAAATCCACTGGATTATATCTCCCTGCTCTCCAGCATCAATCCTGCTTCAATGCCTGGTTGGTGTGCCACCCTTGCCAAACAATAAGATGTAACAGGGCATCCATAACATACTCAATGGTTCTACTTAATTGAGGCTGAAACTGGATTTTGCATGGATTGCAGACTGGTGCACGAAGTCAACACATGGTGAACATGGCCCTATTTTGAGCAGAAGTACAGAAAAGACTTTCAAGGATGTTGCCAGGGCTATAGGGAGAGACTGAATAGGCTGGCACCATTTTCCCTGGACCGTCGGAGGCTGAGGGGTGACCTTATAAAGTTTTATGAAATCATAGGATGACTACCCAAAGGTCTTTTTTCCAGGGTAAAATTAGAGGGCATAGGTTTTAAGGTGAGTGGGGAAAGATACAAAAGGGACCTAATAGGCAACTTTTTCACGCAAAGGGTGAATGGAACGAGCTGCCAGAAGAGGTGGTGGAGGCTGGTACAATTACAACATTTAAAGCCTTCTAGATAAGTACATGAATGGGAAAGTTTTAGGGGAAAATGGGCCAAACGGAACTAGATTAATTTAGAACATCTGGTCGGCACGGACAAGTTGAACCAAAGGGTCTGTTTCCATGTTGTACAACTCTATTTCTATATGATGCTAAGTTAAATTTCTTGGCCTTAGTGTCTCACTGCCCATCACTCTCTCAGTGGCATTCCAGTTGGGCAAAGGAAATGGCAGCACTCAGTTCGATGATTTTACCTGGTATTCCTTAATCTTCCTCTGAAGAGTAGCAGTTAATGACTGTTCATCTTCGAGTTTAGAGCTCACTGTGTTGATCTCCAGCTCCTTCCTTAACACAGGAAAAAAAACACACACTTTACACATATGGAAAGGAAAAACACGTAATGCTTTCCACATGTAACAAATATTGCACATGGGATCAGCACATTTTATTACCAGTTTGTTACATTATTGAAAGCTGCTTACATTAGCTTTTACACTGGTCACAGCCGATGGGCTTCCAGAAATCTGGGGTGGCCACTTTCCATTACACCATCATTTTGAATCTAATCCCAATGTTATAACTTTCTTGCTGTAAAATCTGAAGTCTCGACAATGTTTTCTCTGAACATGGCGACAGCCCATCTTTTTTCTTTACTCTCCTCAACTTTGACCCCGTCAATAACAAACTCTTTTCATTCTCCCTCCTTCAGTTTAGTGAGATTGTGCTCACTTTTCAACATTTTCTCTTCCCAAACATGCACCATTCCCTCAGATATTCTATCAAGGATCCATTTTTGGCCCCTTCTACTTTCACTTCTATGAGTTGCCCCTCAATGAAATCAACATGATTTTTCTACACATACACCTGGCCTCTCTAACACTCTCAACCTATTGTCAGACTACGGGTCTAACATTCAATCACAGAAGCTGGTCCAGAGAAGCCCTTCTCTATTAGAGATTGAGAAGACACTGGATTTAATGAAGGTGATGGAGGTCCCACCGAAGCCCTGAGCCATCTCTTTTAGGGAAGGTCTGTTGAATTAACTGCCAATGAGGTGCCGCAGTGGGCCTCTTCAAGTTCAAGATCCCCAGAGACAGACGTCATGTGAAGAGCTACTGGCCTTTAGTGGGCAGCAGTGCCATCAAGGTTCTGCCAACAGTAGTTCACCCAACTGAGGGCTGGCCTCACTGTTGGATCCCAGGCCATTCACTGGTGAGTGCTGGGGGTTGCAGGGAAGGTGAGGTGGCTTGTGGTGCTTATTTCAACGGGGTTATTTTATAAGAGTCAGCAAGTCTTACAAGCAACTGTACAAGGTTCTGGTGAGGCTATATCTGGATTACTGAGCGCTGTTTTGGTCTACTTATTTAAGGGACGATTTCATTTCATTGGACGCAGTTCAGAGATGGTTCATTAGGATGGTCCCTAGTTTGGAGTGATGTTCTTTTGAGCAAAGTCTAAACAGGTTGGGACTCTACTCACTGGAGTTTAGAAGAATGAGAGGCGATCTCATTGAAACATACAGAATTCCTCAGGGACTTAACAGTGTACATGCTGAGAACAAGTTTCCCCTCATGGGAGTGCCGAGGTACAGAGGGCATAGTCTCAGAATAAAGAGCCCCGAATTTAAGAATGAGATGAGGATTTCTTCTCTCAGAGGATTGAGAGTCTTTTGAACTCCTTGCCACAGAGAGCTGTGGAGGGCAGAGAACTTGTGCATAATTTAAATCGGAGATCAATAGATTCTTGATCAATAGATTGTTGGTCAATATCAGAGTCAAGTGTTATGTAGAAGGGGCAGGAAAGTGGACGTGAAAAATGTTGGATCAGCCACCATCCTATTGAATTGTAGAGCAATCTTGAAGGGCCAAAAGGCCTACTCCTGTTTCTATTTCTTATGGTCCTTAGCAACATGCTGATCTATGCTAAATTAAACTTTAGTATCACTACTAAGTGCTGTTGTTTCATTCTCCTGTAAGCGTTCCTCTTGCATGATTTTCTGACTATATCAGAGATATATTGACAGAAAATAGTAACATATTGAGGTGTTGAGCTATTGCATTCAAAAGTTTAAGTTTCTTGCTGACTGTTCACATGTTTAACAGTACAACACCAGCAGATGGGTTCTCTATAGGATTGAATATACTCAAAGACTCAGAAGTTTGCATTCACGCTCACATCTTGAGTCGCCTTTCTTCAGAAGCAAGATGCATTACTGTCAAACTCCAACAGCAGACCACCCAGGAGGTAGTGCCTACAGTCAGCGTGACATGCAATTATTCAGCCTTAAAACGAAAAGTCACAACTAGAGAGGCTCTGCACTTTCATGGCCAAGAAAAGCCCCCAAGGGACTGAAATGAAAAGCAAGCCTTGGGGCTTCATTTGTACTAAACACAAGTGAGGTATTTCTCAAATAGGACAAACTTCTCGAATTGAGGTAGGATTCGAGAAGAAAAAAGCATAAATGCAAACCTAACCATTTACCAGACAACTTTTGAGTAGGGTCTCATGCATTTTCTTTAATCATTTTTACTGTATTATTTGGTTATTACCTATCCACAAACAGCCATACATATGTTAAAAGACTGGAACACTCTCATAAATGTATACTTCAAATGGCAGCTGATTCATCCACTTTCACAACCAGTGTCCTGGTGTTGCCATGTGCAGAGTCAACAGAATGCAGCAACTCACCCCGATTTTGGCAAGACTACTGTCCATTCCCTCGTCTTTTTGAACTGAGAAACCTAGGACACAGACCAACTCTTAAGCGTGGCACTTCACCACAGTTGAAAGAAGGGGAAAGGAATGATCAACGGTTGTATTTAGTTTGGGGTTTAAAACCCTAAGGAGAACAGGAATGAGGAACAACAAACAAAAAAGAGGCAGGGTGCTTCACAGGATTGAGTTCTACAATTGGTCTGGACGATGGCAAAATGGAACATAATATAACAGCAAAGCACAATTTGACCCAGCTCATTAGACTTAGGGTTAGATTTTGCTTGATTGCAATCAAACTAACATCACACAAATATTGATTCAAGAGCTATTTTAATTTGTCATTTAGTTTAAGAAAATACTCACTTCTTGATGACTTCTTCCAGGTCAACCTTCAATTTCTCCATTTCGTTCAGGCTATCAATGGTCATCTTGAGGTCTACTTCAAGCTTTCGCCTTCCCCTCTCCAGCTCTGCCCGCAGATGCTTCTCCTGCTCAAAGTTGTACTCAAACTGTTGAGGGAACACATTTGGAGATCAATTTTATTTCCAGTTTCTGATCATTGCGCAGACCAACTCTGAAAAATATTCACAGGGCGCTATCAGAAATTCACAATTGATAACCTCATCGAACTTTTTCCTCTCAATGAGGAGGGAAATGGCAGTTCTGCAGACTGGGCCGGATTTTCCGAATTTGTCAGAGTCAAGCACTCCCAGGTTCAGTGTATGAGAGCTGAATACACAGAAACGCTCCTGACACTATGTCAACAATGTAGCTTAGCCATTAGATCAAAATAACATCCTGTACTACACACGAAAACCTTTTCTCTTCCCACACTAGCCTTTCTTGAGGCCTCTTTGTAAAATTACCATCCCGGTGCCAGGTTGCGTGGAATCATGGGCAATTTTGTTCTGTAGGCAGATGGTCAATATCAATCCAGCTGAGACATTGTCAAACTCATCCAAAATAGGGCTTCAACAACCACCAGACCCAAAGAGTTTGATTTTCTTCACTCAAATGGCAGTGAACCTGTGGAATGCTTTACCACAGAAGGCTGTGGAGGCTAAGTCATTGATTATATTCAAGAGAATGATTAAATTTTAGATTTTAAAGGCATCAAGGGAGAAAAGGAGAATATGGCATTGTGATAGAAAAATAAGCCATGTTCATACTGAATGGCAGGATAAGCTGAAAGGGCTGAATGTTTAATCTGTGGTCCATTTGATTTTAATTTCAGGGAAAAGAGGTCAGCTTGCACACTCACTGTACCAGCCAGCCAATCATGGAGGGCTCATTCAAAGCATGGTTAGAAAATAACCAGCTTGTAACAACATATGGTTCTTTTCCCTTGTACATTTCTGCACTTTTCTTGATTCACGCTTTGGTTCAGTTCCTCAAATGGTAACATCCATCTGGCTAACCATTCATGTCGGTGTTCAAATTCTTTGCAAACAAATTTTTCATGAGGTACTGGAACAAGAGGTGGGGGGAAAATGCATGGTGCAAGAACAGATGAATTTTGTTCTTACCCAATGACTGTAGAGCATTTGATCACAAAACATCTATTTGGACAGTTAACTCTTCCAACAGATCAAAGCTGGATCTTTCAGATGTCTATGTGCATGTGTGCGCACGCATGTATGTGGGTATGAGTGTGCGTGTGTGCGCGTGTTATATATCTGGGATGGCGTGTGCGTGTCTGTCTGTCTCATTACTCAGTATTCAGGAAAGTTTCTATCTTTAAGAAATGCTTTGTAACTGTATAACAATAATCCCACAGTATGACGAGACCGTGCCCATTGAATAACAATATTTAGTATTGTTTGAGTGAAGTCCAACAACACATTTGCATGAACATGAGTCTGCTCCAAATGATGTGACACAACAACTGAAACAAATAAATCTTGCTATACAACTCGAACCAAAGCTTAACAAGATCACTCAAAGTTGGGATGGATTGTTACTAATTAATCCTACAGTTAAAAAAAAGTTCAAAGGTTAAATTTAATGATTATTTTCTACATTTGTGCTCATCACATGGAATCTCATATTACCAGCAAACACCGAGATTGCAAATGCATTTTCGGCAATTTCCTGATCTATCAGCAGATCAAGACCAGGTGCCAAAAAAAGAAATGCAGTTGGGAAAGATTTTTTTTTAAAACTCCCTTCACATATTGCATTCACTTAACCTAACTTTCAGTTATGGGTGATCTTCGTCTTAAGCAATGGTAGAATGGGCAGGCAGGTAGCAGATGAAGTTCAACGCAGAGAAATGTGAAATGTGAAGTGAGTCATCTCAAATAGAAGGAACAAGGTGAATCAGCATAAAATAAGGGGCCATTCTAAAGGGGATGAAGGAGCAGAGGGACATGGACAAACTGAAGGTGGCAGGGCAAGTTGAGAGCATGGTTAAAAAGCATTCAGTATTCCTGGCTTCATTAATAGGGGCATAAAGTACACGAGTAAGGAAGTTAAACTGAGCTTGTTATCGGACACTAGCTCAGCCTCAGCATGCTTTTTCTGGTTCTAGGTGCCGCAGTTTAGAAGGATGTAAAGACATTGGAGAGACTGCAGATCCATGCCAATAGTTCCAGGGGCGAGGAGCTTCAGTATGAAGATAGATTGGACAAAGCAGTGTTTGCCTTCAAAAGCAAAACAGCAGACAAGAGGTTTGATAGAGGTATCCAGAATCATGATTGGTCTGAACAGTTTAGATAAGGAGAAACCTCCCACTTCTAAAATGATCAAGAATGAGTGTGTGGAGATTTAAAGTAATTGGTAAAAGAAGCAAAAGCCAGACTGGGACAACATTTTTCTTACTGCAAGTGGTTAGTGTGTGGACTGCACTCTCTGCCTGAGGCAGGTTCAATGAAAGCATTCAAAATGTGAATCCAACTTTATCTAAAAAGGAAGAAGGTAAAGGGTTATGGGGAGCAGCTGGATAATGGTACCAAGTGAACTGCTCATTCAGAGAGTCAATGCAGACATAACGGGCCAAATGGCCTGTTAGAATTCTGTGATTGAGGACGAAGAACGATGTTGTTTCTTCTATAAAACTTCAATGAGCAACTTAAATCTGTTCTGCTGAAGTATAAACTTGAACAATTAAACATACGGGCAAGATATTTGGTCAACTGTTCTCGACATAGTGATGACTAACACTGCTGACTAAAGCAGTCAAAACCATGACTGATTTGATCTTTGCACTTAAAACACTCGGGTCAGCTTGTCGGACCGAAACTCAAGAATGTGCTGGGCACAGCTGGGTGCTGTCAGCCGACACTTAGCTTGACATAAATTACAATAATCAAGAATGGCATCACTACCCACTTTATAACACCACACTTAACTCATTTAGTCCCAGAAACAGATACGGACAATGTTACAGAGATAACACAGCAACCTCCTTCAAACTAATAATGCATGTCTGCACTTCTCAACAAAAAAAGTTACATCAAGGCTTAAACAAAGTGAACCACAACTTGTGATACTTGTGAAATCACAGGCTTGCTGTCTCCAGTTTCGTTCACTTTAATGGTCAACAAACCAGGAACTGGAGACTGTGCCTCACATAGACACCATCCGAACAAGGAATCACTCGAGACTTATTAGAATTAGCGATAGCTTTATCTCTATAAACTGTTTGGTTGAAGGAAAAAACGTTTGTGCCTACAGAAAGTAAAGGAAAATCCAACCCACTGAGTTAGCTGTTATCCCCAATTATCAGCAAAGTGATGGAAGGAATTCTCAACAATTTTACCAAGGCACATGACTCACCCATAATCTACTCCTTTAGATTTCATCAGTATATTTCAGTTCCAAACCTCATTACAGCCTTAATTTAATCATAGACGCCACAGCTGAAATTCAGATGTAAGGTGAAATGACTGAGTGTGGTACCAAAGGTTCCCCTGGAAATCTGAAGTGAATGTTGTTTCTGACAAGTACTCCCTGCATACTGGCCTTTTTACACATGATCAGTGAATCAGCTCTTTACAGTTCGAAGGTTACAAACTTTCTTTCTTAACATCATCTACATTACACAGACTTCACCTTGCAATAGTCAACTGAGATCTCACAGACATTCTAGGTCAGGGCAATATATTTTGTTTATATGGATGAACACAAGATCATTTGCCAAAAAAAATAAGGAGCAGAGGTAGGCCATTCCATTGTCATTATTTAAATCCTTCCTCATTCCTTCCACTTTCATACTGGTTGTTCATAGCCAATTAGGGAGTTGATGGCCGAGGATCTGTTAACCCAAACTTGAATATATTCAACGTGTCGGTTTCCACAAACTTCTGTAGGCAAGAGACCAAAGGCAACGACCCTCCAAGAGAAGAAATTCCTCCTCATCTCCATCTTAAACGGGAAAATCCTAATTTGTAAACCGTGTAATATTCCTCTGCTTCATTTAATTTTAAATTATTATAGCAATTGGAGGAATGTAAATCAGAGATGTTAAAAGACCCATTTGACTCATCAGAGCTCACCATTTCAAGTACTCTAACTCTCCTACAATAGAATGCAAACTCCTACTGAGTGTCGCATCATTTTCTACTTTCTGTGCTCCAGTTGGCAGATTATTCCAAACAACTGAATTCTCTTCCTAAAACTACTTTCAAACCATTTGAAACGAAGTTAAACTTTTGCTCTATTTGGAGACCCTAGTTTATTTAAAATTAAAGCATTCTGATTCCTACGTATTCAAAGGTTTTGTAATTACCAATGACCTTTTCGTGACCCCTCTCCATTCTGAATTAACCCTTTCACATAAGATCAGCCTTGTTTCTTTAGTTCCCTCTCTCCAAAGCTGACACAGTGGAACTCCATTTTCTGCAGGTTATTCACATTGGCGCTTAGCAACGGGAACAGCTGGAATGGTACAGTGTCCAGACAGAGTAGATCAGCCTTTTTCATAAGCTCTCGTTACACAGTAGCCTCAAGTTCCAAGTCAACATCATTTCAATGCTGCCTCTAAACGGTTTGAAATAAATGGTATCAGAATAATCGATTGGGAATGTTTTCTATATCTTTGAGTGAGTTATTAGCAAACTGACAGGGGATTTAAAGATGGACCAAGTGTGGGGTGACTCCCACAGACAATGGAAGCTGGGAGAATAACCAAAAGTCTAGGTCAAAGGGCAGTGGCAACAGCTGGCAGAAATCTCTGGAGGAAAAGCTGGGAAGAGAAATGAGATTAGTGAGCAGAGAGCAGAGAGCAGACGGCAGCTATTCAGCAAAGCAGAGAAATGTCTTGGAAACCAGCTTTCTTGCGGAGTTTTTTCACACTCTCAAATCGCGCAGTAAATGATTAAACAGACTGGTGCAAATTTCTACCTTCTGAAGATAACTAAATACACTGATAAATGCCAATTTGAAACAAAATGTAACCCATCTAAGACATCTTTATGCCATTATGAGAAGTTACTAATTCCCTACCTTTTTCCCTTCTGTCTCCTCCTGTCACTGTACACAGTCAACTCTGTTTAACAGTAGTACAAAA